CGGAGTTCCGAGCTCCGTCGACGAACGAAGATCAGGGATGCCGTTGATTACGCCAAGAGATCGAAGATCAGGTGGGCCGGACACGTTATGCGATATAATGATGACCGTTGGACCAGGACGGTTACGGACTGGATCCCTCGGGACGTCAAGCGAACACCAGGACGGCCGCCAACGAGATGGTCAGACTTCTTCACGAAAGCTCTGAACGAAAGGAATGTATTGCCCCGTGTCCCTCGAGCGAGTGCGATTCACTGGACTACTCTGGCTCGCGACAGGGACGAATGGAGACGTTACTGGCGCCCGCTCGAGGAAATCGACGATCACGGGAGTACAGGTGATACAGGTGATTTTCCACCTAATTTTAGGAAGGGGAGGGGCTCCGGGATTGGTGAGCCAATTGTACGTTCAACTTTTATCTCATCTCAACTTTTTGCTTGGTATAACCGTCTCACCCAGCCCTTAGTCCCTCCCACTCCTAAAATTAGGTGAAAAATACGCAGTTATAACATAAAAGTGCCATGTAACGTCCCTAAATACCATTACGGGCTCGCCTACCCTTCCTTGTCTACTATCTCACTGGATAGGGCGTAGACATGAAAAAGCGCCGCGCTGCCGCGTGGCCCCCCCCCAACCCACTTAGCACCCGTCTTTGTTGTTTCGATGTACCATACGGGATCAAATCGGTAGATTCTGTCTTTCAGTGGTGAATAGAGAGAACTGCGAAGTTCAGAAAACGAAAGCAGTAAGATTTTTATCAACTGGGACCACTTCGCTTCACTTGCGTGTCTCTGGGAAAATCTCGTTATCGACAACATTGATGGAGAATACAACCGGCTCTTCGAACATTTTCACGATAGTGATAGGAAAGCAGAGAGTCTACAAGTAGGCAGAGAGGGCTCTCTTTGAAGACTCTGGTACGCCAGCGTGGAATTGCACGAGCTGCAGGCAATCATCGACAGACGTCCGAAACTGCGAGGCAATGCAGAGAAGTGATAAAGGACGATCTGAAAGAAAGAAGAGCAGCAATGTTGACCGAAACCACCGAGGTTGGGAATAGCTTGCGCAAAGCCCGCCGAAGCTTGGTCAATTATAAGACCGAGGTGACTTTCCTTCGTTGTATTGACATCACTGCATCTCAAAAGCCATCTAGACTTCTACTCTGATCTCTCCGACAGCCACGTCTACTTGCCCATCTATCATCCCAGGCAGGACGGATATGTCCTTCCTTCAGTTCTCCCTTTGTCCTTTCGGCGCCCGCGAAGTGCCCACTTTGTAAAGAAGTAGCAAGACTGTGTTGTCGGACATATAATAAGTGTAATCTAGACAATGTTGACAACTATTGCCCAATCGTCTGCTATCTATAATCTACAAACTCTTCACACCAATCATCCTTAATAGAGCAGGCAGTAATTAGATGAAGGACAGCCATGCGAGCAAGAGGAGTTTCAGAGAAGGTTCAGAACAATCGATCACATCCATACCGTGACAAGGCTACTGAAGTATCGCGGAAGTTCAAGGATTCCATTACACCTGACTTTCACCGATTTGAAAAGGCTTTTGATACCGCCAAGATAGAAGCGTTAGTTGAGGTCTTGGACAACCAGTGTATTCCTTTTCGATATATAAGAATGCCTCGTGACTTCTACAACAACTTCGCAGTCAGGATTTTGCCATTCTAAAAGAATTCGTCGTTATTCTGGAGAGAGGAGCTGACAAGAAGGGGAATCAAAGATGAGGTGTGAGGCTTCGTATGTATATTGTGGCGACAGTTGCAAAATGTTGGTTGTAGACAGTATTCCTCGAACAACAAAAGAACACCAGAACTGCTGTCAGAATCTTCACGAAGGCTTTGAACGAAAGAGAAAATATACATTGTGCATACCATTCCCTGCAGTGACAAGGGGCGACGTTATGGCGCATACTTGAGCAGACCGTTGATCAGCTGGTCGACAGCTGATGCAGGTAAGTGGTATCTATACATAATTAATAGCCAATAGTGTGTTAATGAAAATAGGGATAAACGTGGCAAAGCACGGAAGCCGAAATTCGTGAATCCATCGAAGCGGGATCGGAAGAGATCATCTATTCAATTGTCAGAACCAACACTCTCAGTCGGAGGTAATCTTTGTTTTTAGGCATTCTAATTCGCTTACATGTGGGGATTTTATTGCCTATCTTTTCAGTCCCGTTGAATTTGTTGGGAAGGTTTGCTATCTGAATGAGCAGTTCACATTGGTTTTGAAACCCTGGTAACATTTTACCACTCAGACCTTTCTGGAAGGCTTGGGTAGCGCTGTGCCATATCGATTCATAACCATTGCAGTAATTGAGTATACTATTCAGAAATGTTGTATATAGTTAAATAAATGGAAAACTTGTCACATTTCAAAAGAACGTAGAGGGAGCTGTCGCAAAAGCTTCGAATAGGTTTGTGGAAGGGACGCAAAGTGTGCTACGTAGGTGTACTTCTCACCCCTAAGGTTGGCACCGCCATTAGTGATCCGTTTTTGTGCTGTAAGGGTAGCGAACCCAGCAAATGGTCTGTGTTTCGTTCCTCAATAGCCTGCCGCAACTGGTCCCAACCCGAGCATTCGTTAAGGACCCATTTTAAAGACTTCGGAATCACTTGCGGGGTTTTATTTTCGAGAGGCTTTTCCATACAATCTCTTCCAACCATGAACTACTATCTCCTACATCAACTTGTAGTGCTCACTGCCTAGGAAATTCATATTCGATGCTAATTGCGGCACAGCTGTAGAGAACAGAGCTCATTGAGGCAAATGAGGGCTTTTTCTGGATGTCTCAATGGAATGTTTTTCAAAACAACTCATTGAGTGGCTACACACCAGTGTCCTTTTTGATGGGCCTTATTACGTTTCAAAACCGTTCAAATTTAGAATTCATTGCTTTGTGCTGGTGACTGCGTTTTCATCTTTCCATCTTTTACTTCTCTTATCTTATTGCAAGAAAGCGACACTCTTATCAGCAGTTGCTTTTCACAAGAATCATCAAACCACACTGGGCTTCAACTATCTGTCTGCAAAATTGATCTGAGCCTTACTTCAGGCCCTATCGAGTCTTTCACTCTCTAAAATTCTATTTATTGAAGCTATTTTTTCCAACATCTACATTTTAATTGTTTTCTCGTGTTTTATTTGTTTTTTTGAATGACAGTATCTCGATTACAGTTCCATGTGGTTATCGATTGGTGAAATGCCTGAAAATTGCTATCCGGGAAACCCGATGGGGACAACTTCGGATTACGTACCAACAACCATTAACCCTGGCCTTCTGACTACGAGTTTGTTGAAAAAATTGAAGCAAACGGCAACCGAGGAGAGGTGGGGTAATGAGTGAAGGGTGGAAAGGGATGTGTTCAACTCGAGATCGAAAGATTCGAAATCCCTAATCTGAACGAATGCGAATGTCCATGGCTCCTCGGAGAGGAATTTGCGGTTTGTTAGTAATAAGAGAGAAAAAACAAGATGCATGGGACCACTAGGAGGAAGGTTGCACGTAGATTTTGGGACACCATCATCACTATACGGCTATGCTCTTTCATAGTGCTATTTATTTATTACTTATTTACTATGCTTTTGTTTCTTGTCATTCCCGTTATCACTGCTTACATTCTCGAAAGTTCAGCTTAGAACTTCTCCGAAGCGAAGAAGATTTATCTTTTGAACACTACCTTACTTAAAAGAAAAGTGAGACACAATCACTAGCTTCTTCGGTTTCCGTCCACTGCTCCACCCTTTCTACCAGCCGGCTAGCTTAGCACCAGCGCTTGATACTTGTTGAAGGATGAATCACCTAATCATAGAAATTATCAACCGAGAGCGTTAAAACAACCGATATCAATTGTAAACAGTAAATTCTCAGAAGTTGATGGAGATCATGAAATCGGCAGCAATCACCCTAGGCGACGCTCCCTCTACCAGTCGGTGCTCAGAATGTGATGAGCGAATGATGGAAGTGACACGATTGCAGAACGAAATTAACGAGTACGTTAATTTTTTGAATGAAATGTTTATTAGTATGTCGAATTGGACTACTCAGCAAATAATGGTTACAGCATAGAAACACATCGCGAGGTATTACTATCTAATATCATTATTGAACTGAATCTTTACTTCTGGGGAGGGTTTCTCGCGGTAGGATGCACAGCTAAGCTCAGAAGCCGAACATGAACTGCAGCTGGATGGCAATGCTTTTGTGCGGCCAAAAATCCTCTACAGAATGAGCCTCTCACAATTTTTGGCAGGTAGTTGTGGCGCTTGCCGCGCGCTGGAAATTCGCACGGACCCGAAGCGGCACAAGTTCACTATAGGTCTCGGAAAAGTTAGCAGTGACTTAGTTTTGAACTGCAGTAACCAAGTTAAACAATTCATAATTTTGTGAAAAAACTCAATTGCGTTCTTTCGAATGTAATGAATTATACAGAGAGAATTTGATGATTTTTCGAAATATATCAAAGGAAGGAAGATTTTAGAGCCTCACAATTGGAGTTGTACCTATTATAAATATTTTTCAGCGCAAAGGATCAGGTTAGAAGGCTTCTTGACGACATAGGTGACCTCTCCGGAAAACTTGACGAAGAGGAGGCAGTCGCTTTTGAAAAGGACGAGGCCATAAAGAGTGTGAGAAATAACTGCTTTCTTTTTTCCCTGACCTTGAAATCGACTTAGGAAACTTTGCTTAGTTACGTTTCTGCCTGTTTTTTTTTTTTGAGCTTTTCTACATATGTAGATCGTCGCAAGGGGATAAAGGTAAAAAAAACTATCAAACTGCTTCGTTCCTTCATTAGTGATAATGAATTCCAAATCTCCTGTTTGAGCCTTTTTCCCCTAAAATCGCTTAAAAGCAGCAGCAATAGTTCTTGAAGATTGTGAATCGCGTAAAATTTGGATATGTTTAACTAGAGCATACTTCACCCTACTCAACACTATTTGACTGCAAAGCTGCAAGATCCACAGATAGAGCAAGGTGTTTGTTACGGTAACAGATTTGCTAAAAATAAAGTTGTCGACGTCTGCACTTATTCGACCTTATGTGCGTTTTTCTCATCTATTGTATTCGGCGTTGCCGCTCGTACACTTTAGACATGGCAAAATGGAAAGAGATTCTAAAAGGACCATCATTCATATTTCCAGTTGATTTCTTGTTCAAGCCCTTTAGGATATCTGGAACATGACCAGATTGCAGGTTAATAGCGGTAAATATTCGCAATACACCCACGCTACACATATCGAAATTTCGCATGATTAGATCCAGTAGGAAAGGAATTGCGACTGAAAAGCACGGCTGAAGAACCATTCCACCGAAGACTTTTGAGCGCTACTTTATATGCGCTTAGAAGAATAGAGATTGTAATTCATACATTCTTTAGCTCTAACCTTCTCCAATAATTGTATAGAGTTGCATTCTGGGGCAATGTGAGTCTAGCTGGGAAGCGAGTGCGTGGCGCATACCGGCAAGTGGTTTATCAATGCTCAACACCCTATCCTTTCATCATATCTTAGTGTATATCCTACTTGCCGTTACTTAATCGCGCTCAATTTAACACCTCTGACGATTAGGGCGTTCTAACGACTGAATGTTTCAAAAAAGGCACAGAACGAACTACTGATTAGTATGGTGCATTTCACCACCAGGTGAAATGAATCAGTATGCCAAGCTATCAGTGCAAAACGCTCAAGGAGTTCCTGTTGATAACGGTGACTTCGTAGTACATGCAAAGACTATAAGCCCACTATCGATTAAACGGTGCCATCGATGGTGGAGAATACCGAGAAATCTGCGAAATGTCATATCTGTGAGTTGAGGTGGATCAAGGGAATAGAAATTGTTTATCGGGGATTGAGTGTCGTCGAGGGTAAGAGAAACGCTTCAGGTAAGCGCATGGCTACTAGGTGAAGAGGCTCAGGATAGACTTATACAAACTGTTAAGCAGGAACTGAACATGGGTAGGCGCAGCCTCGAATCACATACCTATTTTCCGTTCGAAAATTTAGGGACTACTCGAGTCCACTCATCATGCTCGACTTCTACCTAAAAGGGTCTGCTCACAAGTGGTCAGAACTTGCTTGGTGCATCACCTTTCCCCAAAAACAATGAACCACCTGCTCGAGAATATCAAGCTCCTTTTTGTAAATGGAGAATCATTTACAGGCTGAAATTAATACACTCTGTAGTTTCTATTAAAACGCAAGGCGCTTGAGACACTGAAATCCGTGAAATAAAATTTATTCCTCTCTGTATGCTCCTTCCACTGGGATAGTATGATTATGCTGCACCCTTATTTGTCCTGATATGTCCTAAGATTAGCTTGAATTTATGACGTCGCTGGCATATGTATTTCATTGAAAACAATTTTCCAGCTGCAATTGGCCCTGAATGTGGAAACAGAGGCTCGAAATGCTCTTGATTCCGATCTCCGCGCCAAAGAAGAGGAATGTCTCAGTCTGCTAAACAGCTTGGAAACGTTCGTAAAAACTTTTCTATTTGATATTCGATGCTGAATCGTGTAAATGTAAGATATTTGCTGTAATCTCCTCTCCGATGAGGAAGTGTAGCAACTATGCAGTGGGAAATTCTCGAACATCAGGCGTTACTTTCAATTTTTTGTCCTCGATGCGTACTGCAGCATGTAGAAGCGTGCCAAGTAAGTAAAATAAATATGGTAATGATGATGGAACGGAATTGGAGTAGTGACACATGGCGCGCTATCGTATACTCATGGTCCAGAGGTTGAGTTCCCTGTCGAAATTCTTACAGGCCCATTATTGCGTTCATCTCTCCAATCGACTAGTTGTTACCAGACTCATTTGGGAGGATAAGAGCACTATCTTGTGCACCGGCTATCCACCGCATTTCATTGCAAAGCCCAGATACGCCTTCAGAACTACTATGATTAAAATTAGAGAACAACGTGGGTGCGGGTCTCCCAAGGGGTTGATCAGCGCTTCATCGCAAAATCGCATTTTCATCCCGATAATGAGCAGGAGATTTATCCTGCTCATTATCGGGATGAAAATGCGATTTTAATCAAATTGTAAGAGGTGAGAGCAAAAATATTAAAAATATGTATTTGAATCTTGCTATGAGGTTGATTCGAGGTTGTAATGGTCACCGTTATCGAGAGTTGTCGGAAGCTTTCATAACACAGATTCTCAGGATCCATGCTCAGGAAATGGAGAAGCTGGAACCGAATGTATTGACTGTTTATGTTCAAGGATGATACATTTAGGCTATCGACGAGTGCAAAGGAGAAAAGTGAAGAGCACAGATTGGAGATGGAACAAATGCGAGCGGAACTGAGTGAGAACACCGAAGAGCTCAAAAAAAGTCAAGAAATGGTGATTTCATTGAATGCCAGATTTGAAAAAAAAGGATTCAAAGTTCATTGCTTCACTTTTTCCCTAACCAACGTACTTAAGCTACTACTTTTTTTTTTATCAAATAGGGGTATGCCCCCGAGTAAATGTGGAAAAAAGCACAATGAAAACGATTCATTCATTCCTCGTTGCGGTCAAGAATTTTCCATCAGAAAGATATAAAACTCTGATCATATTCAGATATCTCAGCTGAGTAAGGCTCGGACCGCTGCCGAGGAAATCACCATCAGCCTTCAGGAGACCGCTTCATCACTATCGGAGCAGCTAAATCAAGCCATTACAGAGGTATAATAAGTTCCTACTACGAATCAATCAATTCGGCAATACCATGTAGTGTACGAGACTTATTCTCCCAACCAGGTACTTCTTGTGTTGTTCTCTGATGCCCTTACTTGATTCTTTTTATTTTATATTTTCTTGAAGGTTTCTAATTTTTTAAACTTTCACTCATTCACAGTCATATGATTCATAAGCATATGTTGATGTTGATTTTGTTACTTATTTGTTGTTTGTTTTTGAAAATAGTTATCGACAGGACTCTTAACCCGTAACTTACTATTGTAGCTGTATATTTCTTGTGTTACTGTCTTTTACAAGAAATATTGATAATTATATTTTTNTTTTTCTTTGTTAACCATTTCTCTCCAGACAGTGGTACTAACGGATTTGTTTTTGTTCGAATTATTATGTGATTTCTTCAGGTTTAATCCGATTTTCGATAGTAGTAGTTTTGAGACCTAAAATATGGAAAGATTGGAAATGGAAAAACAAAGTTCCCGAATTCTGAAAGCCTTTTAATTCAAGAGGGAAAATGCGATCGCTGGAAAAGAAAAGGCCGAGGCGCTTAGCGAGGAGTGGAAGGCCAAACACGTTGAACTGAAAATGGAGCTGGACAACGTTGTCATTAATAAGTAGGTCATATGTATATTAATCAATTTTTTTGGCAATCGAGAATTCTTTTGAAACTTCTTCACCTCAGATTTTTAGTGAGGCCACTCGTAAGATGGAAGTCGACCGTTTGACCGTGGAGAATGAACATCTTACCGACAAACTGCACAATTTAGAAACTGAACATGAACGAGCGGTAAAAATTTATTCTTTGTTGCTTAGGAAGAGCTATTTTGGTTCTCTTAACCATAAACTTCTTATGCCTACGACTTTGACAATGTTTGACTATCCCTGATCTTGATTCGTGCACCCAGATGGTGTCCTGTTCACAATGGTGGCAATTAATGAAGCTTGTTATTACTTAGATGTAAAGGTGTTCTTGTAATGTCTCAGCCAAGTTGTTATAGCTCTTTACTCGGCAAAAGTCTCAGTGTTATCGCCTTCGTCAGCCTGGAAGCCAAAAATACATGCTATTACCATTTTACCCCGTTCTCTATCTGTTTGGCGGGGATGTAGCAAGTGACGCGCTACCACACACGTTCACGGGATCGTATCCCGGGTTGTTACCAGCCTAGACCAACCAGGTCTTCCATCCTTCGACTAATTGGTACCAGACTCGATTGGTAGGACAAGGGAAGTGACTTACATCGGTTTTCCACAACAATTCACTGTACAAGATGCCTACGCATCCAATATACACGCCAATAAATCCGAATGGAAGTTGAATACTAAGCGTATCCCCAGACTGGACTGACTAACGCTTGAAGGCTATCCTTTATCCTTGATCAGTTCTTCAGATTGTCCTGAGTGGAACTCTTTGCCGTTCGAGGTTTATAGGTGGAACATTTAGTCAAATTTACGGCTAACCGTCCGCCTACAAACCTCAATTGGCAGAAGAATTTTCAATGACGCAAACGACAATGCCGAGATTAAAACAAGAGAGAAGTAGGAAAGTGTCCTGACTTATTTCCATCACTGGAAACTATTCGTAGGTGGGGAAAAGGAGCAAAAGGCCTCTTATTCGTCCTCTAGTAGATCACATTCTCGGTGGGGATGATAAATTGAGAAGCACTTATCGATTCATATCTGCTTTGACTGCTTTTATAGTTTACGCTCTGAGTGTTCAGGTTGCTGACTTAACGGCAATGCAAGAAAGCCATAATCAGTTCGTCGAAGTGTTAACCAAGAAGGTAGACCATTTCAAAGAAGAGAAAGCTGAATGGCTCTTGGAACGAGAAAGGTTTGCGTCTTGGGATTTTTCTCTGGATTCTTTTTTGTTTTTAAAGGGTAGTTCTAATCTGGAGATAACAGTTCAAAAAGTAGACATACTTTCAAAACTATTTTAAATCTTGCAAACGTCTGTTGCAAACATTAGTGTGCGCAGCCTAATTGGTCTGCTATATCGTAGGCAAGTGTAGACATTTTCAGCATGACAGCAGAAATTGCATCTCTCAAAGAAGAAGCTGAGGCAAGGAAAGAAGTTGAAAGCGAAAAGTCGACTCTCGAATCATACGTAGAAAACCTCACTAAAGAGGTAATTTTTTCCTCGTCACTGGCTTATTTCCTTTGATCAGCCCTTGCATTCTCTTGGCAGTTCAATAAAGATCGCTGTCTACCGATGGGTCAGGGCGCAAATTGCGAGCCCTTGGTTAGTTGTAAACCTCATGGCAAAGGCGGAAAGTATGCTGCATTAACTGAAGGCTTACACTTGCTATCTACATGCAACTGGAGCGCCACTGCCTCCAGGTCCACCTAGTAATCCTTGGCCCATGAAAACTTCGAGGTTTATTTCTCCGATTTTGTATGACTAGTTGCAAGTAATAATAGCTCTGATTGGACACGATCCAAGAGTAAAGTGGTGAAGTTTGTTGAGAAAGTTGAGTAATGTAAAAATAAATGAAGGAGGGAGAATATCTTGGTGGTCTGGAGTGAGGGAGTAGGGTTTCCACCGAATCGTTTGTTGGGTATGGGCGATATAGTTGTAAGAGAAGAGAATGACCGTCAACAGAACAGTGAACAGTTGAAAATGCTGTTATGTGAATTCAATGTTTATCAAGCCGATATGTTACAGGTGTCTGAGTTATCGATAAAGGAAAAGGAGCAAAAAGAGTCCGTGAATCGACTCACCAGCCAACTGGAGGAATTGGGAAAGGAGAAGGATAAACTTTCAGGAGAGCGAGAAAGGTTCAGGCTTTTAAAGTTTTTTCTTTTTCTCTAAACTTCATTAACGGTGAGTACGGTATGTACCGTGTTCGGTAAACCTCAAAATTGGCGCTCGACAGCTGATCGATTCCTCCCAGAAAAATTGGGACGGGTTTCGGAACATCGATCAGTGCCTTCCTGAACTCATCCTCCATCCGAAACTTCCCTCCGTCGAGGTCACGTTAGATGGGACCAGTAAGAGCCCTCAACAACCAGCAGTTCGGCTCTGTAGGCTCAGGCAGGCTATAGGCAGGATGGAGAAATGTCAGCTAGCTTTCGCTTTGCAACTCGCCCTAAGATAACTTCATCGTCTCTGGTTTATCAATGTCCTGGTGAAAAACGTTTTCGAGTCGTTCTTCAAGCGTACGAACGTCATGTGCATCGAGACTCTGAAGTTGACGAAAAAGGGGTGCCCATAACAACATCTCGAGAACTTGATGCTTGATGCTCTGTCCTACTGCTCCGGGTTTGGCTGGAATTGCTTCCCAGCCAAAATTGTAATTCTGATCGGAATGATCAGAATTGCAATTCTGCAAATCCTTACATAAGCACTGAAGTGCTATGTTGAGAAAGATTGGAATAGTTCGCTGGATTCTTCTGGTGGTTCAAAAAGCTTAATTGATTGATGCGACATCCTACCATGTATTTCCCAATTACAAACTTCTTTGTGATCGCAGTATCCCTTTTCAGTTTACTACATGATCTGGCTTCCTTCCAAAGTAAACTATCGGCACAGAGTGAGTTATTCGAGCAGCAGAAAATCGCATCGGACAGTCGCATCGAGGAACTAACTAAGGAAGTGAGTTTGTTTCAAAAGTGAATTTGAAAGCAAGTCGTGGGTTTTAGAAAAGTGCTATTCTCTTCTGAGGATTTTGATCTGAGGATCACCCACTCCTATAGCGGTACAATAGAAACCATATGTATTGTGAATGTGCCAGCCATCGTGTGTGCTACCAGTCATGGTAGCATACTGTTAACCTTGAAATATAAAAATATGCTACCTGAGCTCCTGGTGGCATGGAGGCGCACACTTCATCTGAATAAAGCCTCCTATATATAATATAATACATAGCGGATGACCTATTCTAGTTAATACTGATCGCAAAACCAATTCGTCCAATTCATCCATGGCTCAGAATACATTAGGGGTCATTGCGCTCGATTTCTTTTTTACAGCTGTTGCAATTTTCAAATATAGACATCTTACTTGAGGACGAGTCTGGATGTATAGCATAGGTATATGTACAACCGTAGAAAAGCAAAGATGGCGGTTTACTTCTGAACATGTATGGACCTAAACATCCTTACTTCATATAAAGCGCTCGAGCCTGTCTGTCTGTTTGCACGAAAATTCGATATCACCTGATAAAGTACCTTCAGAAGTTTTAAGCCTACGAATGAGCGGTCGTGAACATACAATGTATGCATAGCCTAACTGGTATTCAGTAATACAGAATAAAGGAGAGAATCCGAATGTCTCTACGAATTGGAGTCAGAGAGTAGTGTTCTAACAAAATGTTCAAGGTTTTTGAGTGAGATAGGTGCTGTAAAAGTTTTTTAGCCGCAATGTTCAACTAAATCTTCTCTTGAGAGTCTTATCGCAGAAGTTTTGGACAATAATAGATCGTAGTGGGAAACAATGATGGCGATGGAAATCTTATTTTCTTGATGAATTTTTTTTGCACCAATTCCACCATAAAAGACACAGTTCACGGTAAAATGGTTGCTGAGTTCTGCTCTTAGGAATACCCAGTGGCCCCCAAGGGTTATAGGAAGAACCCTCTTGCGTACAAAAGCTTGACAGTGAGGGCATAGTGGGAGCCCCATTCCTGTTATTCGCGGACTTCCCGCCCCTCGATCGATGTCACGTCAGGTGCGTGTCGAGGCGGAGGCTATACAGATTGCAAGTATTCGCGTCAGGACCCACACACAGTCAGCCGATCGCCGAGTGAAGAGGCGATGCTCTTTTCCCATTCTTTTTTCCTTGTTATTTTTTTTTGCTGCTGCGATCCTCATTCTAATTCCCTACCTCAAGAGGCTGAAAAAGGTTGGCTATTTTCGCGTTACTTGGATTTTTTTATAATTTATGCTTATGAGTGGATGAATTTTCGCTTAGCGTAGTCAGCTCTTCGCCCAGGAACCACACGTACGCACTGAGACACATTGTATAGCTCGTCCGAACGCCCCACTCTTCTTCACTTTTCTGGTCCCATTTTTATCCAGCCCCCTTTTAACGATTTTCGAAGCCTTTTTTCACTTTGGAAATCTTCATCGCACTATTTTCCATCTTATCTTCCATTTTTCGTTATAATATGGTAACACAAAATTATTGTGACCTGTCCCCTTAAATTGGATAGAAACTCGTCCAAGATGATGAAAAGTTTAAAACAGATAGTAACGTTGTGAAATGTGCAATCTATATTCTTGACGTCGAAATGTTTCAGGCGGCCGATTGCACTAGGAGGGAAAATGAACAAAAAGAGCTCGTGAATCGTCTCAACATTCAGTTGGAAGAACGAGCAAAAGAGAAGGAAAAATACCTAGAAGAGCGAGAAAGGTTGAAACTTTGACATTTTTTTCCTAATCACGGAAGCAACCGCCAGTACTCATTTTTAATCCCTATGGAATTCGTGATTCGTTCTTTATGATACTAGGTTTGAGTGAGAAAGCGTAATAGAGTCCTTTGACGTCGCCTCCTTATACACTAATGTAACGAATGACTGTGCTATACAAGCAATATGTGAAATTCTCGACGAACATCAAAATTCTGTCAATCTATATGGCCTGTCAATATCTCAGATCATGGCACTCCTTGGAGAATGCCCACCGTGCAACATATTCAAATGGTCGAGTATAAGCAGCAGATCAGAGGATTAGCGAGGTAGGGGGGGGAGTACTAGGGCAAAGGCTTGCTCCAGTGCTCGCAGTGGCGTTGATGTTGAAACTTTAGCAACCTGTTTTAGGGTCTAGACCCATTTCGTACTGTCGATATATAGACGATTGCTTTATTTACCATCCAGACGATGATGGACACTGTTTCGAATATGCGATCGTATTCTTCTTTTTCAGTTTTCTAAATGATCTGGCTTCCTTCCAAAGTAAATTATCGGCACAGAGTGAATCACTCGAGCAGCAGAAAAATACATCAGACAGTCGTATTGGGGAACTGACTAAGGAAGTGAGTTTCTTTCAGAAATAAGGTAATGCAAGTTAAAGTTGTGGGTAAGAATAAAGCTATCCTCTGCTGATGCTTTTCTTCGTTATTGACTTATTTGCTACAACCAGTGCTCCCATTTCTTAGTCTCATAGAAGCCGTGTGTATTGTGAGTGAGCCAGCCATCGTTTGTGCCACCAGTTGAGGTAGCATACTTTTAGCCCTGAACTATGAAAATGAGCTACCTGAACTACTGGTGACACACATTTTATCTGAGTAAGGCCTCCTAGCGACTGACCGAACATGTTGGGAGTACCGTGACAGTTTGTAGTGAAGGAGTGGTGTTCCCAACGGAATGTTCGTTGTATGTGAGTGAGACGGGAGCTATGAAAGTCATCGCCGCAATGTTCAACTACAGTTTTCCTTCAAAAGTCCTTGGTAAAATAAAAGTTTTTTTTGACAATAACAGGTGATGGGAAAAGGTAGTAATGGCAGTGGCTGTAGTCCTTTTCATAACGGATTTCATATTGCATCCATTTCACGACAAAATTCTGATTAACGCATAAGGATGATGTGAAATATGCAATTCAATATTCTTGAAGTCAAAATATTTCAGGTAGCCGAATTTACACTGAGGGAAAACGAACAAAGAGAACTCGTACATCGTCTAACCGCTCAACTGGAAGAACGGGAATTTGAGAAAGATGAACTTCTAGAAGAGCGAGAAAGGTTGGACCTAGACATCATTCTCTTGAATCGCGGAAATAACCATAGTCATTACAACGGTTGTGCGATACGAATTGGTTCTCACGTTAAGCCTTTGACGACAATGGCACTCACCGGTGGGTGCCACTACGACTGGCGCATAGCACATTGGCAAACAATTTTGGGTACCACTATACTTTCTTGTTTCTTACCAATTGCTAAACTCAGCAAGCCAGTGAAAGAATTTTCTCCTGGGACAGTGCCACCCACCGGTAGGTGCCAGTCGCGCGCGAAAGGAGGGGAGCGTGGTCCCATGGGCGCGTCACGTTGAAATTCGCATTGTCGTCAAAGGGTTAATAATGGTTTCTGAGGCTTATCTTTAGGATGAACTCTGGGTTTGGGTGACTCCCAAAAACAGCTTAAGGGACGCTGTCGGGCTGAAAATTTAATTTAATGCTTAATAAGGGTTCTCAAAACAAGTAACGCCGACGTGCATACCCAGGGCAGACGAGTTGTTCAGCGTTGTAAAAGCTGTAGAGCTTTCACCATTCGCACCGGGACCCGTACCTTGCATCCAGGCAACGTATTGCACCCAACTGTATGTAATGGCGTGCGCGTTCGAAGAGCTCGTTCAAATGTCCCTTCTATACAGCTTTTTCGTAAAGTTGTCGTCCAGCCCCTAATTTTACTACTTTTTGATGCCTTGTGCTTCTCTAAATATGCCGATTTTCGGATTTTTTCGCCACTTTTGCTTTATTCTGAACCATGACTTCCATTACTGGACTAAAACTAGGTAACCCAAAATTATCGCGAAAAGGACCTTCAAAAAGTTGAACCTTCTAAAGTTTCCAACTTCTTCCACTACCGAGGTTACTCGGAGAATACTGAAAGTGTTTTATTGTTTCTCACAAAGTTTAACTGCTTAAAAAGGGTCATCTCTTGAAATTAGAGCCAGTATTCAACCGATTTTAATCTCCTTGTAATCACATTTTCTGTTTTCAGTCTACTGGTTGATCTGGCTTCATTCAAAAATAAGTTATCAGCACAGAACGATTTGCTGGAGCAACAGAAAAGCATGTCCGTTAATCGCATTGAGGAACTAACCAAAGAGGTAATGTTAGTTTTGAAAGCTCTCACCGTAGCAAATTATTGGCCAAAGGGTTCGTCAAGTCAAGTTTGTAAATGGCGTGGTGGGTTACCGAAGAAGGCGTTCTCAAGGAACTATAAACCCAAATAGATGAGTTTTTGAATAATTTCTCACAGCGAAAAGGATGGTCATTGTCTCCTTTGGCGCCTGAACGTGTTTCCATTCTATTTGATTTTTAATGCAAATAAAAAAATGCAATGGAAATACGAAATTCGCCTTTGCCCATGCCTGTGTTCTGAGATGATGATCAATATACAGGTCGGTAATTGGTGGGCTTTGTAGAATGCGCAACTTTCCAAGCAGTTACGCGATGCTCTTCAATCTGCCGAAGAACTCAAAAAGAAAGTTACTACGTTGGAGGCTACGACGGTATGTACACTAGGTCGTCAATTTCGAGTTTTCCCTCTTTTACTGGTTTTTGATCACTGGATGTTGAAGGAGTTATGTTACTGCCATAAGTCCTCGGCACAGCCAGAAGTAGAGAGGTTTATTTTCCAATGCAGACCATTACTATGCCGACACAATGTATAAGTTTCGTCTTGACCTAGACATAAGAAATAGATGTCACGAAACGTAGCTGTGTATTGTTGTTTTCACGGGGAACAGAAAACTTGGATGGCCTAGTCGAGTTGAAACGAAAATTTCATCCAAGAACCATTTGAATGTGAGCTATTCCTTACGATGCCTAAATACCTGGGTATTGATCACAGCCAGAGCCAATGTTGCCTTCAATCCTTCCGAAGTCAATTGATTAGTACCGATTAGTATCAAATTGCTTGGCAGGACAAAAAAAAACTGGCACCGTATAGATATCGCACATTATTGTATAGACCATGTACATGCAACTGGTGCTCTGAATGGAAGTCGAGCGCATGTACACTCCACAGTCGCCTTGATTAACGCGGAAAACTATCCTACCTACAAACTGCTAAGCAGCGTCGCAGTCGTTTGTCGAGTACTCTAATAACTCAAGTTTACGTCGTTATGACTATTTGCAGGTGTTACAGGAAGAACTGAGAAGTAGTAATGAGAAACACATCAAGGAAATGGAAGCTGAGTTAAGAGAATCTTATGAGTCTGAAAGGAAGGCCAGGGAAGAGCAGTGTCATCAGGTTAATGTTGCTCGTAATTCTGCTGAATGTTGCGTTCCTTTTTTTTTGTCCGAACTTTTTTTTTCAATTTTTTTCTTATTTTGCAGTTTGTTATGTCCGTAAGTCAAAGTTGAGCTCTAAGAAGACCCTGGGGTTATTTCTGCGGGTATCTTCGTCGTTTTACGTTTGAATACTAACCGTCTGTTAACTCTACCCTAATGAGAAGGGAACAGTGAATTTTATAGATCGAAGAGGATTTCACTAAAGCCATCGAAAAAGTGCATACACTGACGGAGGAAAAAGCAAAAAGCGAGTCATTATTGGAGCGCCTACGCCAAGAAGTAGCTGATAAGCACAACCAGGTACTTCCGTTCTTTTTTTTTTCGAGCGAGTGCCATTGACTCCTTTGTTTTTTTTGGATCTGCAAAGCATTACAATGCAGGTTTTCTATTGTGCTTTGATGTGATAGTAAATTCCCATCCGTGATGGACATGAACAGTTACGACTGTCTTTAACATCGATTCGTTGCCAGGTTCTCAAGAGCATTCGTCCATACTCACTTTTATTGCTGCTTTGAGCTGTATACCCTGAGGATTGGGACGGGCGATTAGCGACTTGCCGCGCGCGGCATATCATCGCGGACTTTTTACGGATGGCCATGTGCCACGCAACAAACCTACGCGTTGCCACGTGATGGCGGGTCAACCCCTCTTCCCTTTAACTTGGAAATTTGCCGTTTGGGGCTTATTGACAAAACCGTCTAGCCTAAGGCCACGTTTCCGAATGAAAAAGAAGAAGTTGCGATCGCGGAATAGCTGTAGAACCGGAAACTGTTGCTTTCGACGGGAATGAAATGAGCTATGGGCACTTGACCCTTACCGTGACCCCACGGTGAAATAATATACGAAACTTCGCAGAGATCATATTTCCTTTCACGGCATAAACTTATTTGGATATAAAGTTTCTAATCCGTCACACATTCGAAATAGCGAAAATAAACCTTGAGCAAGGGCCCGGAGTCAGCGGCGGTGCAGCCAGTGGGTTAGCCACCCGCACTCGTTCGATCCAAGGACTCATAGTCAGATTACTGTAAGAGCTGAGTGCCCGTGCTGTTGTTGTGTTGTGCCCCGGTTTGTTTTCAGCCTTTGAAAATGGTGAACTTTATCGATCAGTTACTTCTTCGAAAGCGAAGTAATTGAGTGATTGCAGTTGGTATCCTTACGAATCGATGAGGCGAATGTGACGGCTCTGCATCGTGATGCAATGAAACGAATGTGCGTTTTTTACAATTTATGTTTTCATCAAATCAAATTTATCTGAAGTAATGGTTACAGTGAGCTACTAGAAAAGCAACTTAAAGAGCAAAAGGCAGCTGCAGAAAAGGTAGAGATCAAGGTGCAAAAAGCTGTACAAATAGATGAGAGGACGTTGAGCGAGGTGAGCTTTCTTTGTCCTGACTATCTCAATAATCCACTCGGATCTGCTTTCAACCGGTAGTAGGAGGGAGTGCGACCTCGGGAACTGGTAAGATTTATCACTTGATACTTACGGAACCTTCCTGATTTCCAAACAAAACCGCTACTCAGTGAAAAAGAGGGCCCATATATGAAGGCTACATGCATAAAGGGAAGACGGGTGACGGAACTTCTATCCGAATTCCCACGACCAGAGCGGCGAACGCGGCACGCCGTTCGGGGAGAAGATACCAGACCCGAGGGAAGATGCACTAGGTGATAAGGGCTTCGTCAAGCGAGATTTCATAAAGAAGTGTAAAAAACTAAGAGTTCAAGGCCACGTCGCCTTAATATGAAACCGCTTCTGAACGGGTACCACTGAAATAAAATTTCGTAATTTGGTCAATGCGACGCTGATAGGTTGGAGCTGATCAAAGTATTCACATCAACTTCATTGTGCCTGCCGTCATCCTCTTTCAAAGAGCCACCTCTAACAAATTCGTGCCACCTGGTCTGTCTGTAATTTTAATTATTTATGTACAGGGCACCGCAGGTGACGGGCCATTCCCCGATTGGCATGATACGTTGTGGGGCAACTAACAAATGAGATTAGTTACTTGAATTATGGGAAGCATGGCAAGACAACTAGTCATGGAAAGCCACGCAATATGAGCGAATCGAGCTGAAGCCACACGCCATGACACCGCTTGTATGTTCTCTCATCCCTTTCAATCAGAGAACGTATTTCAGGAAACCGACTACGTAGCAAATGTATCAACGCCATCATCGAATCATCGGTAAGCGAGGTTCTGCTAGTCTGTTATTTTGATTTCATAACCAATTTAGCCATGATTGACAACTGGCCGCTCGAAGAATCCATTCTCTTGATTTTTACGGTAAGTTTGACAGGGAAACAGAAGAGGGAGAACTGAAATCGAAGGGAAAGCGTTCACGATTCAAATAGTTTCGTATGAAATTTTTTTAAAGTTGACTTTGTCCCGAGTCCCGCGGAAGCGCTGTTCATATCAGAATGTTCATATTTTGTCCTTTTTTGATTACTTTTTTCAAACTTCATTGTTGTCATTTCAATGATTATTCTTTAGCATTAACAGTAGTTCTGACGAGGATGATGGTTTCGACTATGACGACACCTATGATGATGACGAACTCAAAGCCGAGGTGAGTCAGTTAGAAATAGAGCTGATTCATCTTTGGCTGTGTATTACACATCAAATGTATAAGATCAGATTGTGGTATGTTTTTATACATGTTGAACCTAATGACACACAGGGTATATGGTCACCATCCCACCTTCTTATTCGTTTGATAAAACAGGAATTGCTACGGTTTCGCTTATTTCGAACATTTTTTCAGATCACTTAGTATTCAGCAAACTTTTCTCTCTGTATTTTTCGTACAATTATTCTCATAGTTTCCTTATTTATGGATTTGATGAATTTAAACATTTTTAATTCGTTTACTCTCTCAATTACTTTGTATCGCTACTTTCTTACTCTCTTTCTTATTTTGTTGTGTTTCATGTTACCTCTAATCTGAAGGCAGTAGATAATGCGCCAGGTCTACCCTTTTATTGGCCGTTCTTTTTTCTTTTTACGTTATTGTCACTGATACTTCTTTTTGTTTAATGGAACATCTATGACATCATTCAAAGAGGGTACATCAACAAACAAACAGCCTGTGTGGTAAAATTAATCCTTTTTCTATTGACTTCCTACAAATTATTGTAGCACTCGGCGCCAGTCAGTCCTAAACCTGAACCCGTCGTAAACGGTCGAGAGGAGTACTGTGAATTCTGTTCGGGTACGTTCCGAGACAAGTCCTACAGACAGCTCTACATAGCGGTGATTTCTTTAAGATTATGGTCACGACACCTTCAGTTGTGCTTCTTATCTGATGAGAAGACAGGGCCAAAATCAAACGCGACACAAGTGAAGTCATCTGTTACGAAATTTTCTAGTCATTACGTTTTATTATATTATTTGTGTCATATCGTTGTATTTTTGAATTCGACGGGATAGGGCACTCTAAATAGAAATATGATTTCGCATTCCATTCCTAACACATGAATGAAATAAAGATTGGATGTTTTCGTTCATCGAACTGACAAACAATGTTTACCCTAACAAGTTTATTTCTTTATTTTCCTTGACGGCCGTCCTACGAAGGTAATTGTTATGATAATGATAACAGTCATGCTGATGACGAATTCAGAGCCAGTCGCATAGACCGGCTCAGAATTTTCATCAGATTAGATTGAATATCAATATTCAGCTCCTTCCTATAAAAATTTACTGAGACACTGTGATCAGTTTGCAGGAGGGAGGGTTGGGTTCTGTTGAGCATTTTGCCCGTACCCTTCACATGAGGTAGCTTCTTTTTCGTGGAAGGTCTTCCAGAAGGGAGGTAGCATGTGGCAGGAGTCGTTGCTATCTTTTAAAGTTATGTGGATCACGTACCAGCTGGTTGTGGGTCAGAGGGCTTTACAATGTCGGCTGCTCCATACTTGTCTGTGGGTCTGTGGAAAAAGGGGGAAGGGGCAATATTTGTTAAATTAGGCGCCTTCTGATTTTGTCGATTGATTCTATTTTGCGAAAGCATCCAAGTAGGTACACTAATAGAAGCTGAGCTTCCACATTTCAAAAAGATGGGTTGTTATCGCCATAAAATTGCTCCCCAGTATAGAATCTGTTGTTGACTTGAGAGATGACGCAGCTCAGGCGAAATAAACAAGGAAGTGTTTGGCTTGTTTCAGTAATTACCAGCCACTAATTGGATTCTCTTCTGCAAGTTCCAATGTAAACAGATTTTCATTTCCTTTTCAAGTAATGTTTGTTCATTGGATGAGCATTTTATCAGTATAGCAATCAAGACAGCCTAAGGACACTTCCCCAATATTTTTCATGTGAAGCATCCTAATGGAAAAGTAATGGTAAACCAGGTTGCTCAGCCGAATCAGGACTCTGACCTAACTTCAAGAAAACGGTATGACTACATTAAAATAAAGAAAGTTCACGGGAAAATGGTTTCTGAATTCCCTCTTCTCTTCCGAATTCGCCCCATGATCTGGTCGAAAAGCGACTTCGATTGGGCGATAGTATGAAGGCTCTCAAACAGCATTTGCCGATGTAATTCCGCAAAAGGGCCGTATTATGACGATTTTGTTGAGGCTGCACCATTCACAGTGGAGCGTTGGGACGCCGGCGAGTAGTACATTCACGTGGGAGACCCCAGACGGTTACGGACAGTGATCTCGTACAAACCCCATTTTTGCTATTTTTTGAACCCTTATGTGCACGTTTATTGCACGTTTCTTTACGTTCACTGCACCTTTCACTCCCTTCTTTTAACCGGTTCCGTCCAAGAAGGAAGTGGAGGACTTCCCAAGAACATTATTAGGGCTGTTAAGTAAATAATCATGTCTCTAACGAAATTGAAAAAGTTCTGCGATTTGGGATGAACAGATGGGATTAATGGTGCTAGAAGTTAGAACCGTAAAACAGGATTTCCCGACTGTTTTCTCAAGAGAGTATAGCATTTATTTTTGGCTTTGCTTTGTTTATGGCCCTAGCAAACGCTTCAAATGTTCTCATTAGTGAGATGTAAATACCTAATGTCAAGAACTTCCCAACCCTTCTCCTGCATTATTTTGTTTTTGTCGAAGAAGGCCCTAGTTTACCGTCCGATTGAAGCGGAGAAACAACATTATGTGTTAGACTACTACAGAGATAAAAACAAGTAATTGGCCAAATCAAGACTTTCTAATCACTTGAGCCTCATAAACATGTGGTTACATAGCAATCATAGCCGGAAAACCATGGTGGAATAGAATCTTTCGTAGGTGGATATTTCATAAAAGGTTCCAGTAATGTCCCACTACCTTACCACCATCCACCTGAGTAAGGGACAAAAAAGTGTTGCGCCCAAGAGGCACAATTGCAGGCTCGAGTCCCGTCCTACACAATACACACAATGGGAAAATTATGGGCAGTTGAAGCTTAAGCAAATGTGCTGGGGCCTACAGCTTAGCTGCTGCGGACCCAGTTCAAAATGACCTTCTGACTTACCCAAGAGGGCGATCTGGGAGGTAGCGCATCTGCAAGCCAGCCAACTCATGGTACTGAGCAGTACAGCAGAACAACTAATTGACAAAGCTACGAGCTCAGGATCCCCTGAGCCGTGGGTCATCCAAATCTACCGCGTGGCTCGCAATAGATTTGTCAAGGATTTGTAATTCCACGCGTTGTGATTTAGCAGTACGCACTTGGCCGACTGCCAATAACCCTCATTTCGCACCGCAGTCCCTATGAAACAGTTCCAATTCGATTCGATTCGACTTGAAGTACCTTTCATTTTGCCTTAGATATCACCAATCTTCTCTACTAACACTGCATTGTGTATTGTACTGGGCTGTCAAGCGATTATTTGAAGGACATCTCGCTGGACAACAACATCGTTGGCCGTCGTCTCAAGGTTTGAATACAATTTTTGTATTTGTATTTATTTTTTTTTTGTTTCAGAATCGAGTAGTTAAATCTATAGTCATCTTCATCTTCACTAATTTTCATACCAATTCAAAGACTGGGCAGTTAGTTAGCCTTGGGTTGATACCACATCATAGGATTTTGCGATGTAGCTCCTTTTTGCGAACTCTGCCTGCGTAGACTACTTTTAATGAAATTCTATAAATTGATGGTCCTTCTTTAGAATTATCCGAATTCGAAATCCATTTCATTGCGTGGGTGCTCTTGAATTGAGAAGTTTGATGAGTTGTAGTTGAGATTAGCACGTTCGATAACACTCACGCTTTTTGCACACAAACGTTAGTGTTCTGCAATTCTACAGAATTTGCAAATTCAACTTATATGACGCTTGCAACTTGTAAATAACTTTAATGTTGCCACTGCGCTGAATTCAAAATCACTTATTTTGTTGTTTATTCGTTCCGATTTGCTCATTTCTCTTCGATCGTCTACTTCTTACTCTCTACCCACTACTGAGTATTTGCTTCAAGTCAACGTGATGACTGGATTCTTGCCTTTGTTGTGGTTTACGTTATTAGCACTATGAGCTCATGACTCGTACGAGCACCGTTTTGATGGAATTTGTGTGCTAGACCTAGCGTTTTCTCATTTATTGTTAACCTCAGGTGACCAAGCCCTGCCGACACCACAGTTGACTCCTCCTATAATATGGCCGGTTTCGAGTCAAAAAGGAAATTAATGCTGTACCAGGTACGATCCCTGCTTTGACTGCTTAATTTCACGTCATTCACAAAGGTTCTTAGCCCTTGTTCAATGATGTTCCTCTCATCCCACAGATTTTTCTTTTTCCCCGTCCAAACCCCAGGAAATTCATGAACATCGTCCAGCAAAGTTTTCCTGAAGTACTTGAATGCATTCTTGAGTATGCTTTCATCTCGTCATGAAATTATTGTGGTACTAGCATGGTTTGTCCGAAAATAAGCGCTTCGCTCCAAATTATGTATCGCTGAGAGGTGCAGTTGAAGTATATGTCGTTATGTCGGAGCGGGAACTGTTCGCTTGTTGCAGAAGGCATCTTTGCACATTGAATTAAATCGTGTTGGACTGTTCGGTTGGGACAGTTGGTTGTTCAGAGGCAGCTGTACCACTTGCAGTGGGTAAAAACTGCTACCTAAGTTAAAGGCACTTACATTGACACATCTTTGGGGATGGGCTAAGTTGCGGCACTCATTCCAAAGTGCAGTTCTCTATGCACATGTAGGAATGAGGACAGGAAGTGGTAGTAATACTTAAGCTCTAGAAGGGTAGTATTGCTCAAAATCAAGTGGTCTCGTCCCAGAAAACTTTGTGAAAACCGATATGATTGAACCTCACTGATGGTCGAAATTGAAGGCTTATTCTCTTGCCTTTAACTTAGCTTATTCTCTTACCTTGCTAGCTAACAGTTCTCCTTCGAAATTATTCAGATCCGAAAAATTATTAACATAATATTATTTATTACATTATTAACTATTATGGTATGACCAGTATTAGTAAGACTGTGAGTGGAACAATTAAGTTCTCACTTCTTGGTCTTCCGCTTTGAAAATAGGTTGAGGTTATGGGACCTGTTTATCCTCAAATCTTATAAATCAAATTCACCCTCCGCTTTAATGTCTGATTTTTTTTTTCAACAGCTGGAAGATCATCTAGCTTTGTAGCTGTTGGTCTTTGTTCTGAATCAAAATCTCGCCTTCCCCCTTCCTCGCCACCTACAAGTTTATTTTAGTCTTCAAAATCTACTAATCATATGCTCTGAAGTGCTCGTGAATAGCTCTCATTGAAGTTGTAGTCGTGCCTCGTCCAAGTCCCCCAACAAGATCTTATCAATAGAGGTTGTGTGACAGACCATCACATATTTTGGAAGTGCGACGTTAGGTCAGGAAGCGATGAAACGCAGATTTGGCCCGCTTGGTGAATGACATAATTACGCTGTACTCTGTGATCTATGTATGTACTTCACTGTCAAATACTGCTCTTCGGAAGTGTAATCGTATGGTTCTTTGGTATCGTTGAAAAAGCAAAAGAATGTTTGGTCCTCTGCTCAAGGGACAAATAGAGCTGTACGAATCAAAAAGGCTCAAGAAGGAGACTTATCTCAAGAGCACTGAGTAAAACAGGAGCTCTGGTCATTTTCCTTTCATCGATATTTATCCCTTTTCGTAGAACAGATGGAAAAATTGGGGAACTAGTTGGTTTTGACTTTACTCCGCAGGTGTAGACTTTCTTGTGAAGAATGAGTTCTTGAATTTCTCCTCTTTAGGTTGCAAAAACTGGTACCTGTGATGCCCAAACTTTTGATCTCTTTCTGCCAAAGTGGTGAACGGAACCTAAGACTGAGTAAAATTTTATTTTTTCCCTCAGATGTACGTAGATTGGAGAATTTTTCAGATGAAGACTATGCCAGCATAT